GCAGCACCCGCACTCGCCGCAGCAGCAGCAGACACAGCAGTACGTGCCCGCCGCCGCGCCGCCCGGCCAGCCGCCGCGCGCGTCGCCGGGGGCCGCGGGGGCGGCGGCGGCGGCGGGGATGGTCCCCAGGTCGCCTTACGGGATGGGGCCGCAGGTTTATATGATCCCTCAGGCTGGCATGATGCCCTGGGGCATGTACCCAGCAGGGCAGATGGCGGCGTATCCTGCCGCCGGCGGAGGCTATGTCATGTACCCCGCAGCAGCCGCCGCCGCGCAGTACAACGCCGCCGCGATGGCGCAGCAGCAGCAGCAGGCGGCGTTCGCGCAGCGGCAGCAGCTGCAGCAAGCAGGTGGCGACGGAGGGGCGAGGGGCAAGGACGGCGCTGGCGCCGGCGCGGCGCGCGGGGGCTCCGGCCGGTACGAGGGCGGCGGCGTGGGCGTGCGCTACAACAGCAGCGGCGCGCTCAGCGAGGACAGCGGCGAGGGCAGCGGCAGCTACCCGGCGGCTTCCGGCGCGGCCGCGGCCGGCTACCAGCGCATCACCGGGGCCTACGTGGCGGGCGGCGGCGGGGGCTATGGTGGGGCGATGCAGGGGGTGCTGACGACGCTGTACGTGGGTAACCTGGCGCCCGAGGTGGACGAGGCAGCGCTGTCGGCGCACTTCACGCAGTTTGGGCCTGTTGACCGCGTCCAGGTGGGTGGGTGGTGGGTGGGGCCCGGCGCTTGGCTTTTGGGGGTTGTCGCTGGTTTTTGGGGGTTGTGCGGGACGGCACAGGTGCACAGGCAAAGGTCGACGGAGGGGGCCCTGTTCCCTTTTGCAGGGCCGCCTCCCCTGTACAGCGCGGCGGCCCCCTCTGCGCAGCCCGGCGCCGCGCTCGCCCTGAGCTCGCGCTGCGTGCCGACAGGGCTGCGTCTTGACTCCACCCGCCTGCCCGGTGCGGCCGGCCCGCCTCCGATCTCCGCCCGCGCCAGGTCATCCGCGACAGGGAGACCGGCGAGCCCCGCGGCTACGGCTTTGTCACTTTCAACAGCGCCGCCCCGCAGGCCGCGGCCTCCGCGATGGCCGCCCTCAACGGTGCCGCGCTCGACGGCGCCTTTGGCGGCCGCACCATACGCGTGTCCCCCAGCAATAAGTGGCGCGGCAGCGACGGCGGGGCCGGCGGCGGTGGCGGGGCCGGCGGCGCGGCGGCGAACGGGGTGCAGCTGCATGCGCAGCAGGTCGGGGGGCACCAGGTGCAGGCGGTCCCCGGCGTCCACATGATGGGCCACGTCCAAATGGCGCCGGCGGGGATGGCCACTGGCGGGCGCTAGGGGGCCCCCGCGGGCCCGGCGCCGCCGCGGGGCTCGCCGCCCTCGCCCTCGCCTGTGACTGTGCGCGGGTGCTGGGCCGCTCGTTTGCCGCCGCGTGTCGCCTCCCTCCCCCCCCCTTGGGGGTGGGGCGATGGCTTTATTGAGGCAGGAGCGGGGTGCTGATGGGGGGCAGACAGCGGTTGAGGGAGGGGGTACGGGGCGGATGCCGGGACTCATCGTGACTCGTATGCAAGATGGGCCTGAGGGATCTTCCCTTGAGTGTGGAGGGCACGGGCCCAACACGGCGGCGCCAGAGGGTGCCGGACGGCCGCGCCCCTGTTGCGCGGTGTGGGTCGCTCGTCCGCTCCGAGGCCCCGTGCGTGCCGCCGCGCCGGGAGTGCAGGGCGCGGCGCCCGCCCCCTGCGCGTCCTTCGTCCGCCCGGCCGCGGATTCGCGCCGCGGACCCCGCGAGGCGCGTCCGGCTGGCGGCGGGTTTTTGTTTGGCCGTTGTTCACCAGTGCAGTGCCTAAAGCGCCACGCACCTGGCGCGACTCTCTTTTGCCGCGCTCGCGACCTCGGCAGCCACCTGGCACGCATGGGCACCCTCACGCGTCAACCCAGACCCTCTCCGCGCCCATGGGCCCCCTGTCTTGGCAAACGACTGTCCACAGGGCGCACCTCCTCCCCTCTTCCAAGGCCTCCGGGCGCAATGCAAAACACGCCGCCTCACGCGCCCCTGCGCAAGGGGGCTCTCGCCACCCGCGCCGAAACCCAGTGCGTCCGGCCCTGCGCGCTGCCCACGCCTTCCCTTCCGCCCCGTCCCCCCACGAATCGTAATCCCCTTGCCTCTGGGCGGGCGCGCCCGCCGAGACGCCAGCGCAGGCGCGGCCGTAGGCGTGCGGCCGCGCTGCGTGCGCCTGCAGTGCCCCGCTGCAAGCCCCCTCGGGTGGCGGCGCTCCGCGGCTTGCAGGGCGCAGGCAGTGCTGCGCGCACGCCCATGCAAACGTACTGTTTACGCCCCTGCAAGACCCCTCACTGTGGATTGAGCACATGCCACTAGTCATGCTTCCTTAACGGCCATTTTTCGGGATTGGGTTATTGGGTAACAATTTTCGAGTTTTGAGCTCGACAGAACGACGGCGGCGGCCGGCGGAGCAGCCGGTGCCTTGACCAAGGAGAGCAGGTTTGACCGTCGAGGGGCTGGCCCCGTGCTCGCGAAGCAGCAGCACGCCTGCCTGGTGGGCGGGCCGGGCGGGCCTGGCGGGTCTGTCTGGGCGGGGCCGGGATGTATGCACCCACACCAAGAAGCAGTAGGAGGCCGCGTGGGCAGAGCAAGTGCAGGTTGGGCGTCTGTGACCTGCAGACTTGTCTGTGATATGTCAGCAGGTCGGCTGCGAGGCCGTCCCTTCCGCCGCGTCACATGTACCACTTGAGCCGGCTGCCGCCCGCCTCCTTGATGCGCGCGAAGATCTCCACCACCTGCCGAGTGATGTTCACGCGGCCAGCAGCGAGGGGCGGGCGCGGCGGGCCGCCGCGCCGCGTCAGCGTACCGCTG